TTTTCTTTGGAATCGACTGTATAGTTTTTTTTTTTTTAATTCTCTGTTTTTTTTTTTTAATTCCCTTTCCATTTCTCTTGTTTTGGGGAATCAGGATTTTTTCCTCTAGTCTTATTTTAACAATCAAATCAAAGCACACCTACTTAAATGTCCAAACACTTCCAATTAAAATCAAAGAGAAACTCAGCAGAGGACTGACCAGTGGGAAAGAGCAGACAAAACACAACAGCAGAGTGCACACAGCATATACCAGAAATACTTCTTAAAGTGCCACGTGACCCCTTTTTAATATAGCAGTACTCTCAGTTTCAGGAAACATAACACGCTTTTAAACCATGCAAAAGGCAGAAACTTAGCCAAAATGACAAGAGGAATTCTCCCCAAAAGAAAGGTCAAGAAGAAATCATAGCCAGGGAGTTGCTCAAAAAAGATATAAACAATACATCTGAACAAGAGTTTAGAACAACTGTCATAAGACTACTAGCTGGGCTTGAAAAAGACATAGAAGACACCAGAGAAACCCTTACTGAATAGATCAAAGACCAAAAATCTAGTGAGGCTGAAATAAAAATTCTATAACTGAGATGCAAAACCAACTGGATTAGTCACAATGAGGACTGAAGAAGCAGAGGAGAGAATAGGTGATACAGAAGATAAAATTGTGGAAAATAATGAAGTTGAAAATAAGAGGTAAAGTAAACTATTACATCATGAGGGGAGACTTAGGGAACTTAGTGACTCCATTAAATGAAACAATATCTGTATCATAAGAGTCCCAGAGGAAGATGAACAGGAAAAAAAGGGGCAGAAAGTTTATTCAAACAAATTATCGCTGAGAACTTCCCTAATCTGGGAACGAAAAAAGGCATTCAAGTCCAAGAGACACAAAGAACTCCCCTCAAAATCAGCAAAAACATGTCATCAGCTTGACATATCAGAGTGAAACCTGAAAAATACAAAACTAAGAAATAACTTGGAAAGCAGCTAGGGACAAATGTCCTTAACCTACAAAGGTAGACACATATATGGTTAGCATCAGACTTGTCCACTAAAACTTGGCAAGCCAGAATGGAGTGGCAGGAGATATTTCACATGCTGAATAAGAAAAATATGCAGCCAAAAATTCTTTATACAGCAAGGCTGTCATTTAGAATAGAAGGAAAGATAAAGAGTTTCAGTTTTTTTTTCTTTTTCTTCTTCTTCTTCGGGGTCGATCCCCAGTAGTGTGATTACTGAATCATAGGGTAGTTTTATTTTTAATATTTTGAGGAACTTCAGTTAGCTTTAGATTGAAATTCTGTAATTGTCTATTTTCCAAAGAGGGCCTGAAGAAAGGGCGGTGGGCGCAGGAATTCTGTCTTCTTTCTTGCTTCTATGCCATTGGTTTTGCACGAGGATACTATTGGATCAGGCTGTGCAGCACTTTCCATGGCCACAGCTCCTTCTCCAATGGCTGGCACCTCTCCAGGTGCTGGGAGGTTGATATAAAGTCTGTGGTTCTTTGGCTGGATATTACCTGAACAGGTGCCCTCTTCAGGTTGTGAGGACCACTGTCTCATATATCATCCCTCTCTTGGCTTCTATATCTGTTATGTTCGTTCTCACTCACCCTGAGATTGGGCATGTGCAATTTCATTTTTTAGGCTCCCTATACCCAGATGGCTCCTCCGGTCAGCTAAAAGCTGATGACTTTGTTCCCCCGGGAGGCAGCCACATTTACAACTGGACCATTCCAGAAGGCCACGCACCCACTGATGCTGACCCAGCATGCCTCACCTGGATCTACCATTCTCATGTAGATGCTCCACGAGACATTGCTACTGGTCTCATTGGACCCCTTATCACTTGTAAAAGAGGTACAGACCCCAGGGGTGAGCTACTGAGATGTGGTGTGGGATATTTCCAGGAAGCAGTGATGTGTGTTGGATCACCTACATATTAAACAGCAACCTCAAGGAGTGTTAATCCAGCACCTTTATTTATTATTAGGAATAAACCACACTAAACTTTCTTTCTACTATTTTTTTTATTTCATTACCTTTTAAAAAACTTTTGGGGCACTTGGGTGGCTCACTTGGTTAAGTGTTTGACTTTGGCTCAGGTCATGATCTTGTGGTTTGTGAGTTCAAGTGCTGCATCAGGCTCTGTGCTGACAGCTCGGAGCCTAAAGCCTGCTTCAGATTTTGTGTCTCCCTCTCTCTGCCCCTCCCCAGCTCTCCCTCTCTAAAAAAAATAAATAAACATTTAAAAAATAATAATGTTTTCTTATTTTTTTCTTCATTTTAAAACCTTGCATTAGTAATGATGACAGTCAAGTAACATAAAAGTAAGGTGTGCACTAAGAGTTTAAGTGTGATTTATATCAAAAGTGGAGCCATTAGGATTTGGGGAGAACTGGAACTTGGTTGGAAATATGATAAGTTTAAGTACTGCCAGGCCCAGAAGACCTGGGTGTTGCAGAAGTATGGTCAGATTAAAGCCCTGGGTTGAAGACATAGGTAGGGATGGTGGGAGGGATATTAATCCTATATGCTTAACCTTCAAGTCCTAGGCTCAGCTGAATTGGGTTTAACTGGGGTAATTGAAATTTGGAAATAGAAATTAGCAGTAAAAGGGGTGCCAGGTGGCTCAGTCAGTTAAGCATCTGATTTTTGATTTCGGCTCAGGTCATGATCTCATGGTTTGTGAGTTTGAGACCCATGTTGGGCTCTGTGCTGATAGCACAGAGCTTTCTTGGGATCCTTTCTCTCCCCCCCTCTTTCTCTCTGCCCCTCCCCCACTTGCTCTCTCTGTGTCTAAAAATAAATAAATAAACATTTAAAAATAGGAAAATAAAAGAAATTATCAGCAAAAGGCCTTATCTGTTTTCCTATTGACAACAGACTCTTAAGTCACCCTGTCTTGCTATTTATTTCTTATGAGTACCCTTTGCAGGTTACTGTTGCTAAGGAAGGGATGTTTTCAAGGGCATCTTTCTTTCTCACTCTAGGAACCCTGGATGGGAATTCCCCTCCTCAGCGGAAGGATGTGGACAGTTATTTCTTCCTGCTCTTCAGTGTGGTAGATGAGAACCTTAGCTGGCATATTGATGAGAACATTGTCACTTACTGCTCAGACCCTGCCTCAGTAGACAAAGAAGATGAGGCCTTTCAGGAAAGCAATAGGATGCATGGTGAGCTGGGAGAGGGTGGCCACACCATGATAGTGAAGACTGATGGAGAGTTTGTACTGGGCCTAGCATTTGGTGGGTATTTCACATATTTGGTTCTTTTTAACTTCACAAGAACTTAAAATAGTAGGTATCTTTTCTCTGTTTTACCTATAAGGAAACTGAGGATCCAGGATCACAACTAACAGATCTGTCAGCTGTTATCCAGCTAACAGATAAACTGCACAGCTAAAATTCTAACCCTTATCTGTCTGACTGCACAGTCTGTGCTCTTGCCATTAGATGCCCTGCCTTCTAATGTGGAATGGCCTAGGTTATCAATTCTAAAGTCAAGTACTATATGCTCAGTCACTCAGGGTGAGGGTTGCCCACTGATATAATTAGTCAACATTTCTTTGTCCTAAAAAGGTTAGAAGAATTACCCACTTTGTGGGGGGAAATGGTTGGCAATGAGGGAGTTGATCATCTTAATTAATCCAAAACAAACTAAAGACACAAAAGCCCTGAGTCATGAGCATATAACTTATTTTAGTAATAGAAACAATTTGATTTTATTTTTGTTTAATTAAGAAAGGGATTTACTTCTTCTCAAAGCCAGACAATTCCAAGGGGAGGTGAAAACTCAGATGGAAGATGTAGGGATGGCTTGCACAGTTCAAATTTATCTTTAGTGTTACACCAATTGCTTTTGATAACCATGGTAATTAGTTAACTTGAAAATTGTCCTGTGGAAATTTCCGAAGGAAATTGGCCTGGAATGAAAGATTAGCTTGCAAAATAAACCCCATTCTTTAGAAAACTTCTTCAGATTTCTGGGTTGGAATCTTGGTTCTATCACTTAATAGCTCTGTGGCTTTGGCAGAGAAGTAACTTTATTTCTCTGAGCCTTGGTTTTCTCGTTGTTTGTTTGAGAGCAACAATATCTGCTTATTTCCCAGGAGTGTTTGTAAGGTTTTAAATGAAATAAAGCATATGGTCAACATAGTCTACTTTTTAAAAATTTATTTAAATGTTATCTATTATTATTGTCAGATGGCAAACCTTCTCCCATTAGGCTGTATTTTCCTAACTCTGATATTTTATTTGGATTTTTATTTGCAGCAATCAATGGCTTTGTTTTTGGTAACTTACCAGATCTAAGCATGTGTGCACAGAATCGTGTGGCCTGGCACTTGTTTGGCATGGGCAATGAAGTAGATGTCCACACAGCTTTCTTCCATGGACAAATACTAACCATCCGGGGCCACCGCACTGATGTGGCTCACATCTTTCCAGCCACCTTTGTGACTGCTGAGATGGTGCCTCAGGAACCTGGCACCTGGTTGATTAGCTGTCAAGTGAATAGTCACTTGCGAGGTGAGATTAAGCAACTCTGACCCTTGAAGTATAGAAGGGAGATGGCATTAATGGTCATCAGGTGTCTGGAGCCATAAGATAGGTCTTTCAGGTGGGACAGCTAGGTATAAAGAATGAAATACTAGACTAGAATTCTGGTACCTAGCCAGGACTTTCCCTAGCTCAGCAGTTAACTTGGTGTCCTCTTTGCTTGGAATTCGAAGGAATTAAGATCTGGAGCAATTTGCAGCTTATTGAACAGGGAATGAAGGAGAGAGTAAAGAAGAGTAAGGCTTCTTCAGGAGATCATAGAGTACTGTGAGCAAGTAGTGATGCTCTAGTTGGGAACCAACAGTTATAGGGGTAGAAGATTTGGTTTTCAGAGAGAACATTGCTGAAGTAATGACATAGTGCATTGAGGAGCATCAAAGGAGAGGGAGAATATATGAGACAATGAAAAGAGCACTAGATGAGTGATTAGAAGGTTTGAGATATTGTCTCACCTCTGTGAAAAACTCACTGTATGACTTTGGAAAAGTGTTTTCCCATATATAGACCTCATTTTCCACATCTATAAAATTTGTTAGTCTACATACTGTCTAAGATCATTGCTAGCTCTTTCTTTTTTTTTTCTTTCAAATTTTTATTTAAATTCTAGTTAGGTAACATATAGTATAATATTGAGCTCACACTTTCTAGCATTATTTGATATATGATAAATTAGGTGGATCTCAGGAAGGTAATATGAGCCAGCCAGAAAAGCCTGAACTCAAATCTTGGTTCTACCAGTTGTTTAATTAACTTTGGTTGAGCTCAGGTAACTTCTCTGAGAGAAGAAAATAAGCATTCCAATTTGCAGTTAAAAGATAGGATTATAAATCTCAGTTTCACCATTGACTAGCTGTGTAATCTTGGGCAAGTTTCTTAACCTCTCTGATCCTTAGTTTTATTCATCTGCAAAAGGGCACATTAAAAGTCTGTTTCACAAGACTTTTAATCCTCATAATCATATGAGGATTGAAGGAGGTAACATATGTAAAGGTAACATAAGGTATTATTATCCGTTATTACTATGCATACCTCAATGTAAATTCTTGCACATTTGGAGATACTATTTAGAATTCAAATTTTCCTAGGGTGCCTGGGTGGCTCAGTTGGTTAGGCATCTGACTTCAGCTCAGGTCATGACCTCACGGTTTGTGAGTTTGAGCCCCGCATCAGGCTCTGTGCTGACAGCTCAGAACCTGGAGCCTGCTTCAGATTCTGTGTCTCCCTCTCTCTCTGCCCCTCCCCTGCTCATGTTCTGTCTGTCCCTCTCTCTCTCTCTCTCAAGAATAAATAAACATTATTATTATGATTATTTAGAATTTGAATTTTCCTGACATTCCCAAGTCTGCAGCTTCATCTCTATGTATAGAAGAAGTTCCATTATTTTGAGAACTTTCCAGTTTACATGTAACTTACTTCCCTTTTTCTTCTTACTCCTCTTTTTAAAAAAAAATGTGATGCTCCTGCCAGCCCAGTGGTAGATTTCCCTATTCTCCTCATTTACAAAACAGGGGTTAAAACTCAGATCTAGGAAGTGACAGGCCTAAGGTCATATAGCGAGTGATAAGGATTAGATTTGAACTCAGGTATTTCTGACTTCAAACTCTGTGATGTTGCTACAATGTAAGCCTTTTGAAGAAGCAAGAATGTGATCTAGTAAACAAACAAGTGGTGGTGAGCAAGTGAAGGTACTTGAATTCCCACATGGAATTCCCACATGGAATGCTCCCTTTCTCCCAGTCATGCTGTTAAGGAGTAAAAGAAAGTGGCATAGTGAAGGGGGAGGGTAACAGGAGAAGGAGGAAGGTGGGTCATCTGGGTATATGACCTGTTGGGTAGAATGGATCCAGCCATTATGTCCTTCCTCCAGATGGCATGCAAGCACTCTACCAGGTCAAGTCTTGCTCCATGACTCCTCCCATGAACCAACTCACAGGCAAAGTCCGGCAGTACTTCATTGAGGCCCGTGAGATTCTATGGGACTATGGCCCGATGGGGCATGATGGGAGTACTGGGAAGAATTTGAAGGAGCCAGGCAGGTAAGAGGCAGTGGGCTTCCTCCCCCAGCTCCTGGGACCAGCCCACCACCTATTACACCCTCTCAGAAATCTTTCACTTCACTTAGATGTTACAATCATTGTCTGGCTGGAATTACATGACACAACTGTTAGCCAAATTCTTGTGGTCCCTTAGAGAGTTTGCTCTTGGGAAGCTACAAAGATTTTTGTAGGGTTATGTCATATTCTCAGCAAAGGATCCAAGTAGAGTTTGGGATTGCTCCTGTTATGATTCCAGGCCACATTCAGAAAATAAAACTCAAAAGAAACCAGAACAGTTGAAATGGCATTTATCCAATTCTTCTTTATTTGACTCATTGTTTACCTCAGGGTCCCTTCCTTTCTTTTCTACAGCCTGAAGGAGGCAATTGAAAAGGAGTGTAAAAAGCACTGTGAGAAATGTAGGAAGAGTGGGAGAAACCCACCTTGTAGCCATTCCATTCTCACCCTTTTGGAAGAACTTCTCCAAATTCTCCTACCTCACCCATGAATCATGTAGGGAAAATAGAGCAGAAGGTTAGTTCCCTATTCAGTTGCTAGGCCTTAACTTATACTGACTCACTGGGCTATCAGTGATTCCAGATATTTTACAGAAGAGGTACTTAGTAAATGACTAGGAGAGTTTTGTGTGGAATATTCTAGGGCACCTGTCGTGTTTATTCTTCTAGTGAGGAATAATGGAATGAATCTGCAGAAACCATAAAAAAGTAGGAACTTGGATCTCAGCATAGCTTCTAGAATCTCCAACTGTGCTTGCTAAGTTTGTTGGCTTTCATTTTTAAGTTAAGAATATTTTTTATTAAGGTGAGAAAGGATCTTGAATACATGAGGATAATTAGGACATGTATAAGGCTATGTAACTTAAGAGGGCAGAACTTTTCCCATTGTCTGGAACTTGCTAAGGGAAGATTTCAGCCTACTATAAAGAATCCCAACCATTAAAACTCCAATAGCAAGAAGGATTGTTTTCTCTGAAAATAAGTCCCCTGACCTTTGAAAGACTCAAGCAGGCAGAAGCTATATATCATTAATTAGTGGTGTCATCAAAGGATATAACTTCACTGTGTGGAATTTAACCTGGGTTATCCCTGAGGTTCTTACTAAATATAAGTACCCATAACTTAATGAGACCAAGGATGAGATGGGGATCTATATGATACATAATTAAATCATATGACATTTACCTCTTTATATCCAGTGGCTCAGATAAATTCTTCCAGAAGAGCTCCAGTCGAATTGGGGGCACTTACTGGAAAGTCCGATATGAAGCCTTCCAAGATGAGACATTCCAGGAAAAGGTGCAGATAGAGGAAAATACGCATCTTGGAATCCTGGGTGAGGAATTCTTAACATATGAAATTCATTTACTGGAACCTGAGAACTGGTGAGGACTTAGACACTGGAACCTGGGGCACCTCAGAGGTACGCTTGAAACAAGCATCTCCCAAACTGAGTCCTGAGGGATGAATATCTGGTGAAAAAAAGGCTACAAGTCTGAATGTGTTTGCAAAACACTAGGTTAAACGTGGTCAAATAGTGTTTGCTGCAGGACTTCTCATAAACTTGTATTTATTTTTGTTCATCAAAAATATTCAAAATGTGAAGAATATATAGAATTCATCATACTTAATTCCTGAACTTTTTATTAGTGAACATCTTCTGGTAACAGTGTTATACAGATCACACTTTAATTTTTTTTAACATTTGTTTATTCTTGGGGGGGGGGCAGAGAGAGAGGGAGACACAGAATCTGAAGTAGGGTCCAGACTCCGAGCTGTCAGCACAGAACCCAACATGGGGCTTGAACCCACGAGCTGCAAGATCATGACCTGAGTTGAAGTTGGATGCCTAACTGACTGAGCCACCCAAGCGTCCCCAGATTACACTTTTAGAAGTGCTTCTCTAGGTGTATTTCTGAAGGGATATACAAGGCAGTAAGACTGTTCAGGTTCCTGGCAATATGAGACCAGGAACAGACTGGCATGACATGCAGACATGCTTGCTATGGTGAGGGATATAGTACAAGGTTTAAAGCCTGATCCTGGATAAGGCATCCAGAAGAATAATATTCTGTAAAGCACAGATATAGCAAAGTTGGGTGTGGTTTAGCCACTTGGTAGAGCCAGGAAGTAAAATAGATTGGATAGAAGAAAACTTTTGTAATGAAAGTAATGGAATTGGCCATGTTCTGGGGTTAAGTGTGTGTCAGTTGATTCTAGGAAATATGAACATAGACAACAGGTATTACATCCGCTGGACAGGTAGATACAAGGAGCAGAAAGCCACTTTGGGAAAGAAGGTGGGCCCTGAGTATTAAGAAGCTATCATTAGCTGGTGTCCAGTATGAGTTTCAGTCTTCTTTGTTCAACATTTTTATTGGGAAAACATACATATAGCATAAAATTTAACATCTTAACCATTTTAAGTGTACACTTCAACGGCATTAAATACATTTCATAGTGTTGTGTAATCACCACTATCCATCTTCATAAATCTTTTCATCTTATGAAACTGAAACTTTACACCCATTAAACAATAACTTCCCATTCTTCCCTCTCCCTAGTTCCTGACAACAACTGTTGTACTTTCTGTCTCTATGATTTTAACTACTCAAAGTGCCTCATATAAGAGGAATCATGCAGTATTTGTCTGTCCATGACCAGCATATTTCACTTAGCATAATGCCTTCAAGTTTGATCCACATTGCAGCATACTGCAGAATTTCCTTCCTTCTTTTCTTGTCATCTATCATTCTCATGTCTTTATTTTTTATTAAATTTAAAAATTTTAATTCTCTTATAGTTAACATACAGTGTTATATTTGTTTCAGGTGTATGATACAGTGATTCAACTGCATATAACACCCAGTGCTCATCATGACAAGTGCACACCTTAATCCTCACCACCTATTTACCCCATACACCCATGTCCCTTGCCCCTGGTAAATAGTCAGTTTGTTTTTTATAGTTAAGAATCTATTTCTTGGTTTCTCTATCTCTCTCTTTTTTTTCCTTTGTTCCTTTGTTTTGTTTCTTAAATTCCACATATGATGCTATTGTATGGTATTTATTGTTTTCTGGCTGACTAATTTCACATTATACTCTCTAGCTTCATCCAAGTTAGTGCACATCACAAGATTTCATTCTTTTTCGTGGTTTAATAATATTTCATTGTATGTGTATATTATATTTTGTTTATCCATTCATCTATCAGTGGACACTTTGGTTGCATCCACATTTTGGCTATCGAGAATAATGCTACTATGAATATGGGTGTACAATATCTCTTTGAGACATGCTTTGGATACATTTTGTTATGTGCACAGAAGTGGAAATGCTGTATAATACGGTAAATTTATTTTTTTTTAATTTTCTAAGGAACCACCGTACTCTTTTCCATAGTGGCTGTAACATTTTGTATTTCCACCAACAGTGCACAAGGGTTCCAATTTCTCCACATCCTTGCCAATGCTTGTTTTCTCTTTTGTTTTGTTTTGTACTGTATTGTTTTTGTTTTGATAGTAACCATCCTAAGAGGTATGAGGAGGTATCCCATTGTATTTTTGATTATCATTTCCCTGATAATTGGTGATGTTGAATATCCTTCCATGTTCCTATTGGTCATTTGTACATTTTTTAATTTAAATTCAAGTTAGTTGACATACAGGGTAGTCTTGGCTTCAGGGTCCTTTGTGTATTCACTGGAGAAAAGTCTATTTAAGTCACTTGCCCATTTTTAATTGAGTTTTTTTTATTTTTTGTTGTTGATTTTTAGGAGTTCCATATGCATTATTGATATTAATCTATCAGACTTAGGAATTGCAAATATTTTTTCCCATTCTGTGGGTGGTTTTTAACTCTGTTTATAGTGTATTTTGATGCATAGTTAAAAAAATACTGAAATTCATTATGTTTATTTTTTTCTCTTATTACCTATGCTTCTTGTGTCATATCTAAGAAATCATTAGCAAAGCAAATGTTGGGAAGATTTCGCCATATGTTTTCTTACCAGAGTTGTATAGTTTTAGATCTTAAATTTACGTCTTGAATATATTTTGAGTTAATTTTTATATATGGTAATGAGGTATTAAATAGAAGTCCCACTTTATTGTTTTGCATGTGGAAATCCAGTTTTCTCAGCATTATATGTTTAAAAGACTGTTCCCACAGAAAAGGTCTCTTCAACAAATATTGGCAAAACTGGTCAGCTACATGCAAAATAATGGAACTGCACCACTTTCTTACACTATACACAAAAATAAATTCAAAATGGATTAAAGACCTAAATGTGAGACCTGAAATCATAAAAATCCTAGAAGAGAGCACAAGCATAAATGTCTCTGACATTGGCGGTATCAACCTTTTTCTAGATATGTATACTAAGGCAAGGGATATAAAGCTAAATAAACTATTGGGACAACATAAAAATAAGAAAGCTTCTGCACAGTGAAGGAAACAGTCAACAAAGCTAAAGGGCATCCTACCCTATTTGCAAATTATCAACCTAATATTTGCAAATTATTATCCAATAAGGAATTAGTATCTAAAATATATAAAGAAGTTACACAACTCAACACTCAAAAACAAATAATCCAATTAACCATGGGCAGAATAAATGAACAGACATTTCTCCAATGAGGACATTGAGATACCCAACAGACACATGATAAGATGCTCAACATTACTCATCATTAGGGAAATACAAGTCCAAACTACAATGAGGTATCCCCTCACACCTGTCAGAGTAGCTAAAATCAAAAACACAAGAAACAACAAGTGTTGACAAGAATTTGGAGAGAAGAGATCCCTTTTGCACAGTTGGTGGGAATGCAAAGTGGTGCACCCACTTTGGAAAACAGTATGGAGGTTCCATAAAAAGTTAAAAATAGAACTACCCTAGAATCCAGTAATCACACTACTGCATATCTACCCCCAAAATATAAACACTAAATCAAAATACAATGCTAAACCAAAGGGATACAACCATCTGTATGTTTATAGAAGCATTACTTACAATAAGCAGATTATGGTAGCAGCCCAAGTGTCCATTGATATAAGAAGATATATAGATAGATATAGATATACATCTATCTATATACATATATATGTATATATATATATATATATATACACACACAAATATATATATACACACACACATATATTTTCTTTATATATAATTCAGCCATAAAAAATAATGAAAGCTTGCAATTTGCACCAACATGGATGGTGCTAGAGAGTATAATACTAAATGAAAAATGTCAGTCAGAGAAAGATAAATACCATATGATTTGACTTCTATGTGTAATTTAAGTAACAAAACAAATGAGCAAAGGAAAACAAAGAGAGAGAGAGAAAGAAATAGAGAAGCAAAACAAGAAACAGACTCTTAACTATAAAGAAAAAACTGTTGGTTACCAGAGGGGAGGTGCGTGGGGGGGATGGGTGAAATAGGTGGTGGGGATTAAGGAGGGCACTTGTGATGAGCACCAGATGTTGTATTGAAGTGTTGAATCATTATATTATACACCTGAAGCTAATATAACACTGTATGTTAACTTCACTGAAGTTAAAGTAAAAATAAAAATAAAGAAGAAAATACCCTTGCTAGTTACAATTCTATTCAGACTTTCTATTTCTTTATGCTTTAGTCTTGGTAGGTTTTCTGTTCTAGGACTTTTTCCATTTCATCTAGGTTACCCAATTTGTCAGTGTACAGTCATTCATAGTACTATCTTACAATATTTTTTTATTTCTGTAGAATTGGTAATAAAGTCTTCACTTTTATTTCTTATTTTAGTAATTTGAGTCTTATCTATTTTCTCTTAATCCATATCTATGACAGTCAATTTTGTTGATCTTTTCAGAGAACCAACTTTTGGTTTCATTGATTTTCTTTATTGTTTTTCTTTTCTATATCTTATTTACCTCTGATCTAGTCTTTATCAGTTTCTTCCTTCTTCTATTTTTGGATTTAGTTTGTTTTCTTTTCCTAATTCTTTAATTTGTAAAGTAAGTTGTTGATTTGAGATGTTTTTTCAATGTAAATATTTATAGTTATAAAGGTCTCTCTTAGCACATTTTCCATGGCATCACATTTTGCTATGTTGTGTTTTCATTTTCATTTGATTCTTGGATCATAGGTGCAGCATTAGGTGTGGAAAGTGAGTAGAAAACAAACCAGAAACACTGAACTAGGGTTTAAGCCTGCACAAATGCTCAGGGTATTGTCTTGGTACTTCTGGTTAATCTCAAAGATGACTGAGCTAAGTTAGAGGTGGTGAATAGTGGAACAAAAAAGGCTCCATGAATCATGGCTCAACTACCTAGTTCAGGACCTGGATAGAGGATATAATAATTTTATATGCTCAGAATTGGTTTAGGCTTGAGGCAAGATCAGATAGTTAGATGTATCTTACTAGGAAATGCAGCTATGGGAATTGAGGCAATAAACCTAAGGGAAATGGGATTGAACCTGACAGTGGGGGTGGGTGAAAGACTTGGCTTTAAGTCATGATCTGTTTCTAATCAGTTATTTGAATTTGGGAACATCAATTCAACCTCTCTGAGCTGCAGTTTCCACATTTGTAAAATAAAAATATCCCCAATATAATGTTTGAAGATCCAAATGAGATAATGAATTTAAAAAAGAAGTTTTTTATAGCTGTCAATTGCAACACACTTATAAGGGATTATTTTTATTATTACACAGGGAGGGATTATCTTTTTCACTTCCTTTTTCTTTCCCTCCCTCTTATTTTGTTTCCATCCTCCCTGGTCATCTCTGTTTTCATTCCCATTGTCTCTCCTTTCCATCTTCCAGGACCAGTGATTCGGGCTGAGGTGGGTGACACCATCCAGGTGATCTTTTACAACCGTGCTTCCCAGCCATTCAGCATACAGCCTCATGGAGTCTTTTATGAGAAAGATTACGAAGGAACAGTGTACAATAATGGTGAGCAAGCAGGGTTTCCAACTGATGTGGGCTGTAGTAAATATCAAGTAGCTCTTGAGGACAAATAAATAGGGGAGGAAATGAGGGAAGAGACAGAACTAATTGCCTTGCATGGATATTGCTGAATGCATGCATGATATTACAGTGAAGCAGAGCTGGGCTAAAAAAGAGACATATTCTTTCAAATATATTTCACATATATATTTCAATATGATTGACATTTCAATGATATTTGTTTTTCCCATCCATGAGCATGGAATGTCTTGCAATTTCTTTGTTTTGTCTTCAGTTTCTTTCATCAGTGTTTTATAGTTTTCAGAGTACAGGTCTTTCACTTCTTTGGTTAGGTTGATTTCTAGGTTCTTATTTTGGTGCAATTGTAAATGGGATTATTTCTTAATTTTTTTCTGCTATATCATTATTAGTGTATAGAAATGCAATAGATTTCTGCACATTTAATTTGTGTATCCTGGACTTTACTGAATTAATTTGCCATTGCCAGTATCTTTTTTGTGGAATCTTTAGGGTTTTCTTTAGATAGTATCATGTCATCTGCAAACAGTGAAAGTTTTACTTCTTTATTACCAATTTGGGTGCTTTTTATTTCTTTTTGTTGTCTAATTGCTGTGGCTAGAAATTCCAGTACTATGTTGAATGAAAGTAGTGAGTGGACATCCTTTCCTTGTTTCTGACTTTAGGGGGAAAGCTGTCAGTTTTCACCAATTGAGTATTATGTTCTCTGTAGGTTTTTCATATATGGCCTTTAAGGTTAGTATCCAAAATATATAAAGAACTCATACAACTCAACACTCAAAAAAATAAATAATTCAATTAAAAATGGACAGAAGATATGAACAGACATTTCTCCAAATAAGACATCCAGAAGGCCAACAGACACATGAAAAGATGCTCAACACAACTCATCATTAGGGAAATGCAAATCAAACTACAATAAGATATCACCTCATGCCTGTCAGAATGACAAAAGTCAAAAACACAAGAAACAACAGGTGTTGGTGAGAATGTGGAGAAACGAGAACCCTCTTACACTGTTGGTTGGAATGCAAACTGGTGCAGCCACTATGGAAAACAGTATGGAGGTTTTTCAAAAAGTGAAAATTAGAACTACTCTATGATCCATTAATTTCATATTGGGTATACACCCAAAAATACAAAAAACACTACATTGAATATCATGTCATCTGCAAATATTTAAAGTTTTTCTTCTTCCTTGGTGATTTTGATTTTTTTTTAGTTTCTTTTGTTGTCTGGTTGTGGCTAGGACTTCCAGTACAATGTTAAATAACATTGGTAAGAGTGAACATCATTATCTTGTTCCTGACCACAGTGGAAAAGACCAAATTATTGGTTGCTGGGGGGAAGGTGGATGTGGGATGGGTGAAACAGATGATGGGGACTAAGGAGTGCACTTATTGTGATGAGCACTGAGTGTTGTATGGAAGTGGTGAATCACTATATGGTACACCTGAAATTAATATTACACTGTATTTTAGTGAACTAAACTTTAAATAATAAAAACTTTAAAAATTCCCCAAAACACTAATTTAAAGGGATACACACACCCTTATGTTTATAGCAGCATTATTTACAATAGCCAAACTATGGAAGAAGACGAAGTGCCTATCAATAGGTGAATGGATAAATAAGTGACTATATATATATATATATATATAGCCACATCTGCCTACTTTTTTATATTGTTTTGAAGTTTATATTTGAGAAAGAGATAGAGTGTGAGTGAGGGAGGGGCAGAGAAAGAGGGAAACACAGAATCCAAAGCAGGCTCCAGTCTCTGAGCTATTAGCACAGATCCCAATATAGGGCTCAAACTCACAAACCATGAGATCATGACCTGAGCTGAAGTTGGATGCTTAACCAACTGGGCCACCAAGTGCTCCCATGCAACATTTTCTTTATCCATTTATCAGTCAAAGGACATTTGGGCACTTTCAGTAACTTTGTATTGTTGATAGTGCTGCTATAAACGTTGAAGTGCATATGCCTCTTCAAATTTGCATTTTCGTATCCTTTGGATAAATACCTAGTAGTGCAATGGCTGGGTCATAGCGTAGTTCTATTTTTAATTTTTTGAGGAAACTTCGTACCGTTTTCCAGAGTGGCTGCACCAGTTTGCATTCCTACCAACAGTCCAAAAGAGTTCCCCTTTCTCTGCATCCTCACCAACATCTGCTGTTTCCTGAGTTGTTAATTTTAGCCGCTCTGACAGGTGTGAAATGGTATCTCTTTATGACTTTAATTTGTATGTCCCTGATGATGAGTGATATTGAGCATCTTTTCATGTGTCTGTTAGGCATCTGGATGTCTTCTTTGGAAAAGTGTCTATTCATGTCTTCTGTCCATTTCTTCACTGGATTATTTGTTTATTGAGTATTGAGTTTGATAAATTATTTATGGATTTTGGGTACTAACCCTTTTTCTGATATATCATTTGCAAAATCTTCTCCCATTCTGTTGGTTGCTTTTTAGTTTTGTTTATTGTTCCCTTGCTATGCAGAAGACTTTTATCTTGATGAGGTTCCAATAGTTCATTTTATTTCTCTTGTCTCTGGAGACATGTCTAGGAAGAATTTCCTGTGGCCATGGTCAAAGAAGTTGCTGCCTGTTTTCTTCTGTAGGGCTTTGATGGTTTAATGTCTCACATTTAGGTCTTTCATCCATTTTGAATTTATTTTTGTGTATGCTGTAAGAAAGTGTTCCAGGTTCATTCTTTTGCATGTCGCTGTCCAGTTTTCCCAACACTATTTCCTGAAGATTCTGTCTTTTTTCCATTGGATACTCTTTTCTGCTTTGTCAAAGATTAGTTAGCCATAGATTTGTCAGTCCATTTCTGGGTTCTCTGTTATGATCCACTGATTTACATGTCTGCTTTTGTGCCAGTCCCATACTGTCTTAATTAATACAGCCTTGTAATGAAGCTTGAAGTCTGGAATTGTGATGCTTCCAGTTGTGGTTTCCTTTTTCAACATTACTTTGGGTATTTGGGATCTTTTCTGGTTCCATACAAATTTTAAGACTGTTTGTTCTAGCTCTGTAAATAATGCTAATGTTATTTTGATAGCAATTGTATTGAATGTGTAGATTGATTTCGGTAGTATCAACATTTTAGCAATATTTATTCTTCCAATCCATGAGGATGGAATGTTTTTCCATTTGTTTGTGTCTTCTTCAATTTTATTCATAAATTTTCTATGGTTTTCAGCATACAGAAATCAAACTTTCATTCTTCATAGATGGCATGACACTTTACATGGAAAATTTGAAAGACTCCACCAAAAAACTGCTAGAACTGATACGTGAGTTCAGCAAAGACACAGGATGTAAAATCAACCTACATAAATTGGTTGCAATTCTATACACCAATAATGAAACAGCAGAAAGAAATCAAGGAATTGATCTCATTTACAATTGCACCAAAAAACAAAAGACACCTAGGAATAAACCTAACCAAAGAGGCCAAATAAGTTTTAAAGGCCCTTTTAATCCTTCAGTCCTATGAGTTTAGAAAACTGTAACTTGGCAAAGTTTAAATTTCCCCAGTTTGCATAACAACCATTAACAGAACCAGAAACTAACTTTGGTCTCTTCACTCCTACCAAGGATTCTTTTTAATATTCTATATTATATATTGCTGCTGCTCAAAAATACCTTGTGGTTTATAATATTAACCACACTCTTTGGAGCTGTTGATTCTCACTGTAGCAAATATGATAATTAGTCATATTTTTCCCTGCAGGCTCATCCAACCTTGGCTTGGTGGCCAAGCCCTTTGAGAAAGTAACATATCGCTGGACAGTCCCCTCTCACGCTGGCCCTGCTGCTCAGGATCCTGCCTGTCTCACCTGGATGTACTTCTCTGCTGCAGATCCCATAAGAGATACGAATTCCGGTCTGGTGGGGCCCCTATTGGTGTGCAAGGCTGGTGCCTTGAATGCAGATGGTAAACAGGTATTGCCAAGGTTTATGGATGGAAAGCCTGCTGGGAAGAAGACAAGGCTATGTTGTTAAATAGGAGTTAAAAATGGAATGTGTTCTAGAGATAAGGGAATGGAAAAAAATAACCAAGCTATTTAATCAGAAATGGATACTTGGTGACCTCATGCTATTTTGCATGGTATTCTTTCATTCACAAATATCTTTCTTAGTTTCTATTCCTTTCTATTCTTTATCCTCTCATCACCTCCTCATTTTTTAAACCTCACCTTCCTCTAAACCTTGATCTTAATTTTTTAAATAGTTTTTTTTCTAATTTTTAAATGTAAATTAAAGTTAACTAACACATGCTGTTGTCATGGATTTGGGAATAGAGCCCAGTGATTCAACTCTAAATATGATACCCAGTGCTCATCCCAAGTGCCTTTCTTAATGCCCATCACCCACTTAACCCATTCTCCCACCCACTTCCCCTCCAGCAACCTGCAGTTTTTTCTCTGTATTTAAGAGTCTCTTATGGTTTGCCTCCCTCTCTTTTTTTATCTTATTTTTCCTTCCCTTTTCCTATGTTCATCTGTCATGTTTCTCAAATTCCACGTATGAGTGAAATCATATGATATTCATCTTTCTCTGACTGACTTATTTCAGTTAGTATTACATTCTAGTTCCATCCACGTTATTGCAAATGGCAAAATTTCATTTCTTTTCATTGCCAAGTAATATTCCATTGTTTATATAAACCACATCTTCTTTATCCATTTATATCAGTTGATGGACATTTGGGCTCTTTCCATAAATGACTACTGTTGATAGCATATAAACTTTAGGGTGCATATGCCTCTTCAAATTTGCATTTTTGTATCCTTTGGATAAATATCTAGTAGTGCAATGGCTGGGTCATAGCGTAGTTCTATTTTTAAATTTTTGAGGAACCTCCATACCATTTTCCAGAGTGGCTGCACCAG